CTTGGATGCTTGATACTGCCTATCAACATCTATAACAAATAGACTTACAAAATTGTGTCTTGAACACCTAGTACAAATTGAAATAGACATATTCCACGGATTTTAAAGTGCTGCTTACTCTGCCAGGAAAATAAAGGATTGATTCAGTAATTTGATCAATGATTATTGCAGATATTTAAATTATTATTGCAGATATTTAATTAAAAATGGAAAAAAAATGGAAAACTATATTTTTTTACATTTTTTTCTTCAATTTTGAAAAAATCAATTAAAATAATAAAACTATTATAGCACGGTGATTTCGATCGATACATGGTTTTATCGACCTAGGTAAGCAATATTGACCTCGGACTGCGTCCTCGGTCAATATTGCTAACCTAGGTCGATAAAACCATGTATTGACCTCATCACCATGCTATAATTGTATATTATACCTTCAGTACCACCGATAAGTGTTATTTAACCTTCAGTACCACTGATAAGTGTTATTTTACCTTCAGTACCACCGAGAAGTGGTATTATACCTTCAGTACCACTGATAAGCGTTATTTAACCTTCAGTACCAGCGATAAGTGTTATTATACCCTCAGTACCACCATAAGTGGTATTTTACCACTGATACGTGTTATTTTACCTTCAGTACTAGCGATAATGTTATTTTACCTTCCGTACCACCGATAAGTGTTATTTTAACTTCAGTACCACTGATAAGTGTTATTTTACCTTCAGTACCAGCGATAAGTGTTAGTTTACCTTCAGTAGCACTAATAAGTGTTATTTTACCTTCCGTATCACTGATAAGTGTTATTTTACCTTCAGTACCAGCGATAAGTGTTATTTTACCTTCATTCCCACTAATAAGTGTTATTATACCTTCAGTACCACCAATAAGTGTTACTTTACCTTCAGTAACAGCGATAAGTGTTATTTTACCTTCAGTACCACTGATATGTGTTATTTTACCCGATACATGTTATTTTACCTTCAGTACCACTAATAAGTGTTATTATACCTTCAGTACCACCAATAAGTGTTACTTTACCTTCAGTAACAGCGATAAGTGTTATTTTACCTTCAGTACCACTGATAAGTGTTATTTTACCCGATACATGTTATTTTACCTTCAGTACCACTAATAAGTGTTATTATACCTTCAGTACCACTAATATACAATTATAGCATGGCGATGAGGTCGATACATGGTTTTATCAACCTAGGTTAGCAATATTGACCTCGGACTGCGTCCTCGGTCAATATTGCTAACCTAGGTCGATTAAACCATGTATCGACCGAAATCACAATGCTACAATAGTTTTATTATTTTAATTGATTTTTTCAAAATTGAAGAAAAAAATGTAAAAAAATATAGTTTTCCAATTTTTTTTCCAATTTTTTTCCAGAATCTATTTATAGCAGGTCAATAACACTTTATCTACCAACTTTTTTACAAAAATTCCAGAATCTATTTATAGCCGGTCAATAACACTTTTTCTACCAACTTTTTTACAAAAATTCCAGAATCTATTTATAGCAGGGCAATAACACTTTTTCTACCAACTTGTTTACAAAAATTCCAGAATCTATTTATAGCAGGGCAATAACACTTTTTCTACCAACTTGTTTACAAAAATTCCAGAATCTATTTATAGCCGGTCAATAACACTTTTTCTACCAACTTGTTTACAAAAATTCCAGAATCTATTTATAGCCGGTCAATAACACTTTTTCTACCAACTTGTTTACAAAAATTCCAGAATCTATTTATAGCCGGTCAATAACACTTTTTCTACCAACTTTTTTACAAAAATTCCAGAATCTATTTATAGCAGGTCAATAACCCTTTTTCTACCAACTTTTTTGAACTCCTGTTCCAGAATCTATTTATAGCCGGTCAATAACACTTTTTCTACCAACTTGTTTACAAAAATTCCAGAATCTATTTATAGCCGGTCAATAACACTTTTTCTACCAACTTTTTTACAAAAATTCCAGAATCTATTTATAGCAGGTCAATAACTCTTTTTCTACCAACTTTTTTGAACACCTGTTCCAGAATCTATTTATAGCCGGTCAATAACACTTTTTCTACCAACTTTTTTACAAAAATTCCAGAATCTATTTATAGCCGGTCAATAACACTTTTTCTACCAACTTGTTTACAAAAATTCCAGAATCTATTTATAGCAGGGCAATAACACTTTTTCTACCAACTTGTTTACAAAAATTCCAGAATCTATTTATAGCAGGGCAATAACACTTTTTCTACCAACTTGTTTACAAAAATTCCAGAATCTATTTATAGCCGGTCAATAACACTTTTTCTACCAACTTGTTTACAAAAATTCCAGAATCTATTTATAGCCGGTCAATAACACTTTTTCTACCAACTTGTTTACAAAAATTCCAGAATCTATTTATAGCCGGTCAATAACACTTTTTCTACCAACTTGTTTACAAAAATTCCAGAATCTATTTATAGCCGGTCAATAACACTTTTTCTACCAACTTTTTTGAACTCCTGTTCCAGAATCTATTTATAGCCGGTCAATAACACTTTTTCTACCAACTTTTTTGAACTCCTGTTCCAGAATCTATTTATAGCCGGTCAATAACACTTTTTCTACCAACTTGTTTACAAAAATTCCAGAATCTATTTATAGCAGGGCAATAACACTTTTTCTACCAACTTTTTTGAACACCTGCAAACCATTCAGGTTTATAACTACTTTTACAGGTGGTCACATGATGTTGTTTCAGCCAATCAGAGTCAGCTAAAATTCAATAAAAATAATAATAAGTGTTATTATACCTTCCGTACCACTGATAAGTGTTATTTTACCTTCAGTACCACTCAGGTAAGTGTTATTTTACCTTAAGTACCACCGGTTAGTGTTATTTTACCTTCACCACCACCGGTAAGTGTTATTTTACCTTCAGTACCACTGGTAAGTGTTATTTTACCTTAAGTACCACTGATAAGTGTTATTTTACCTTAAGGACCACTGATAAGTGTTATTTTACCTTCAGTACCTCCGATAAGTGTTATTATACCTTCAGTACCACCGATAAGTGTTATTTAACCTTCAGTACAACTGATAAGTGCTATTTTACCTTCAGTACCAGCGATAAGTGTTATTATACCTTCAGTACCACTGATAAGTGTTATTTAACCTTCAGTACCAGCGATATGTGTTAGTATACCTTCAGTACCACCGATAAGTGTTATTTAACCTTCAGTACCAGCGATGTGTTATTATACCTTCAGTACCACCAATAAGTGTTATTTTACCCGATAAGTGTTATTATGCCTTCAGTACCACTGATAAGGGTTATTTTACCTTCAGTACCACTGATAAGTGTTATTTTACCTTCAGAACCACTGATATGTGTAATTATACCTTCAATACCACCGATAAGTGTTATTTTACCTTCAGTACCACTGATACGTGTTATTTTACATTCAGTACCACCGATAAGTGTTATTTTCCCTTCAGTACCACTGATACGTGTTATTTTAGCTTCAGTACCACCGATAAGTGTTATTTAACCTTCAGTACCACTGATAAGTGTTATTTTACCTTCAGTACCACCGATAAGTGTTATTTTACCTTCAGTACCACTGATAAGTGTTAGTTTACCTTCAGTACCACTGATATGTGTTATTATACCTTCAGTACCACCAATAAGTGTTATTTTACCTTCAGTACCACTGATACGTGTTATTTTACCTTCAGTACCACCGATAAGTGTTATTTTACCTTCAGTACCACTGATAAGTGTTATTTTACCCGATAAGTGTTATTTTACCTTCAGTACCAGCGATATGTGTTATTATACCTTCAGTACCACCGATAAGTGTTATTTTACCTTCAGTACCACCGGTAAGTGTTATTTTACCTTCAGTACCACTGGTAAGTGTTATTTTACCTTAAGTACCACTGATATGTGTTATTATACCTTCAGTACCACCGATAAGTGTTATTTTACCTTCAGTACCACTGATACGTGTTATTTTACCTTCAGTACCACCGATAAGTGTTATTTTACCTTCAGTACCACTGATAAGTGTTATTTTACCTTCAGTACCACTGATATGTGTTATTATACCTTCAGTACCACCAATAAGTGTTATTTTACCTTCAGTACCACTGATACGTGTTATTTTACCTTCAGTACCACCGATAAGTGTTATTTTACCTTCAGTACCACTGATAAGTGTTATTTTACCTTCAGTACCACCGATAAGTGTTATTATACCTTCAGTACCACTGATAAGTGTTATTTAACCTTCAGTACCACCGATAAGTGTTATTTTACCTTCAGTACCACTGATAAGTGTTATTTTACCTTCAGTACCACTGATAAGTGTTATTTTACCTTCAGTACCACTGATATGTGTTATTATACTTTCAGTACCACCGATAAGTGTTATTTTACCTTCAGTACCACTGATGAGTGTTATTATACCTTCAGTACCTCTAATAAGTATTATTTTACCTTCAGTGCCACTGATAAGTGTTATTTTACCTTAAGTACCACTAATAAGTGTTATTATGCCTTCAGTACCACTAATAAGTATTATTTTACCTTCAGTACCACTGATATGTGTTATTATACCTTCAGTACCACCGATAAGTGTTATTTTTCCTTCAGTACCACTGATAAGTGTTATTTTACCTTCAGTACCACTAATAAGTGTTATTATACCTTCAGTACCACTAATAAGTATTATTTTACCTTCAGTACCACTGATAAGTGTTATTATACCTTCAGTACCACTAATAATAAAGTGTTATTTTACCTTCAGTACCACTGATAAGTCCAAATGGACGAAATATTGGCCTTATGTGAGTGATGGTTCTATATAATGATTACCTGGGCTTTCTGCATCTACATTTCATCGTACTTCCAAGTGAATACCCAGTTTTGAAATATTCACTTCTATATCCAAAAAATATTCAAGATATCTTCCCTTAAAACTCTTGTGAAGTAAAAATGCATTCAAGTTCAAGACAATTTTATTACGTTATAAATAGTTTATATACCACAAAATAAACATGTCATCATAAGATAGTCCACATCGCCATCCTGAAAGTTATTTGACATCCATGGTCTTCATGATGCCGTCCCAGTTTAACACACAAATACAACACTCGTCTTTTACCAAAACATCCAGGTTTGATTAACCATTCAGGCAGGAATAGTTATGGGGGGCATATGGCAGATTTTCTGAGTTTTTGCAGGGTACTCCGATTTTCTCCCACATTAACACCCTTGGTGCACTTTTATCAAGGCGAACAAAAGGGAATAAACTTTAGTTGATACAGCTCATTTGATAATTGTTGTAAAATAGATAAAGATTTGAAATTTAAAGTAGATGTTACAAAACTCAGTCATTTTGGTACCGAGATGTACATATTGTTCCAACACTTGTGCATTGTGTATGATATTTCAGTACTTCCCGAAAGATCTTTTGATACATTTAAAACATTTTCACACTTGGTCTAAGGTTTCAACCTTTTCTGTGTGTTGCTGGTTTTATATTTCAAGATTATTCAATGTTTGTTCTCTTTACTAAAACGTACCAACACATCATGTTTTAAGCACCAAAAGTACTGGGAACAGAACATCTTATAGAATTCTGAAACACAAGATATTGGGTATAAATAATACTGAAAACCTTAAAGCTAACTCATAATATTAAAAGGTAAAGCAACATGAAAACAGCATTGCTTTTGCTGATATCTGATATTTACTTTATCCTAATAAGATATGATCAGATTTATTAAGGTCAGCACCAGCTCTAATCAGATTTTAAGACCAACATTTATGTAGAATTTTTGTATCATAGATGATTGGTATTTGCAATGTCATTTTCGCATGAAAACCCTAAAATATATGGATGCTCGGGTTGCGCAGCGTTTCACACGCTCGCCTTCACCAACATGACTAGGATTCAATTCCTCTCAACTGCCCGACTGCTTGCCCTTAAATAACTTAAGCTCATATTAAAAATTTGACAATATATCGATGTAGATGTATAAAGATATAAGCAAACAAAACAAAACTGAAGCAAGAGGTCCAATGGGACCTGAAACAAGAGGTCCAATGGGACCTGAAGCAAGAGGTCCAATGGGACCTGAAGCAAGAGGTCCAATGGGACCTGAAACAAGAGGTCAAATACTTTTGGACAAAAAAAATAAGGTCTACATATAGCAAGGAAAGTAACTCTTTACGCACGCATTGGTTTATTATTTTAATGTATAAGCCTATCTAAAATACTACCAACCCAAATTGCATAGTATATTCCTTGGTTTTAAGTTACATATGTATCAATATTTAGCACAGATACACAGCCTAAATCTACAAGCAATGGCATTTGTACAAGCACGTCTCTCTCACATTCATATTGCCTGGTCATATCAAATCATATTTATTCAAGAAAAGTTTTTAAATATCTTCGCAACAGTCAAGGTCAAAAATTATATGTACATCTTATTACAGAACAGTGTGTAAATGTGGATTTAATAATAGCTTTGATATCTAACATACTCATTATATGTGTAACTGTTTCCTAACTCATTCATCCCTGAAGACACATTTGAACTCTTCCAATTCAAAGGTGAAACTTCATGGGTGAATGAGGTAAACAGTCTGATTTTACTTCTACACATATCAATTTAAATGAAAATGATCTCTAAATCATCTATTTCTGCTAAAATTAACAGTCGATATGTGTGTACAGCAGCTTGGTGAGTATTTCACTTTTTGTTTAGAGCAGTGTCTCATAAAACTCATGGATTTCATTGAAATGGTATAACAACTTAAAATAGGAATGTGAAAACAGTTTGAAAAACATTTAATATATCCAATACTCCTGAAATAGACCAACAGCCTCTATGACTGAGATGATGAATGTTTTTGTTCCAGTTCAGTTGCACCGTTACAGAAATATTTTTTATATTTTGTAAAATTGATTAATTTTGAAACATATTTTCTTTGTGAAATTAAGGCAACAATCAAAAGTTTCAAAATACCCTTTCCCTATAAACTTTCCCTATATATGTAAGTGTTTAAAAATTCAAGGGTTTAAGAGTATTAAACGACATCTAAACATTTGAAAAATAATTATACCTAAAACCAACCTTTTCAATATATGAACAGACTCCAGATCTAGGGACTGTGATGTCATTATGTTGCAGATGTATTATAAGTACTGCAAAGTATTAGTGAAATAACATTAACAGTGAATTGGTGGAAAATTCTAAACACAACAGAAAATAAACTGCAATAATTAAACTTGGTTTACATCTAATTTGATTGTTTCAAAAAACACAACAAATACAAACAAAGTAATGTATGTAGGCACTGTATATAAAAATAACCTCCTTAAATGACAAACTGCACATAGAAATGAACTTAGGTTATCAGAACAATGTTTTATACACTGACTTCATAATAAATGTTATTATGTGGTCAAAGATATTTGATATTCAGCTAAAGGACAAAGAAAGGGAATTAAGGGATCCAAATCTAACACATCGGAATGTATAAACCAAGGCAATGGTGAATAAGAACAACCTATTTAAGAAGTGAATGTCCACACAAAGATTATTCTGTAGATAGGACAGTTAAAAGTCTAAAAACCTAAAGACCTCTTAAAACTACCTACATTATCTACAAAAATATTCCCACATGGATAGTCTCCCTTTGACTGTACGTTTCTTTTGAACATTCAATCATTATTACCAGATTTTTTGTCCTGTTAAAACAACTTTCACACTCAAATCTGTGTCTCATTCAGAACATAAATTATGCAGATTGTTAAATTTATAATCAATGATAAAAAATAAGTTATTTTCTTAGCACAAAATCTTAGGTTCAAATTTACACAACACATTCTGATAGCTGTCAATTGTACATGTCATACTTTCAATGAGCAAGATGACAGAATATAAGAAGTCATGCTATGAATAATTTCTGACTACATGATGATCTGAGGTTCAGGCACAGATGTTCCGATCGATTTGTGAGGTAAAATTCGCCCTCCGTTGATATACAGTTCATCCTTTACAGTGACATCCTCCCCTAACACAGAGACATTTTCCATTCTCACCTGCAATTAAAAATAAAGTTGCATTTTTGTGTTAATCAATCTGAGAAATACATATTCATGACACATAAACTAAAACCTCTTAACACCACTTCCAGCTCAAATGTGTAGAAATCAGTAGACAGTGTAACAAAGAATTGTTAAATAGTAACTTAGGACCCCAGAGATGTACACACTGTATTTTCTGTAAAAGGATCATCTAAATATCTCAATACTAGTAATAAATCAATCCTACTTCAGTAAATTGCTGCTAAGTTTTTGCCAATTACCATCTGATTTATGTTAGAGTTATCACCCTTGCCATTATAATTTTCTACTATCTGAGCACGGACTTAGATCTAATCTAATTCCGTGATCTGAGCGACACTAATAGATGTATTCTAGTACATATTCAAATATGTCATCCGTTACGATGTTATTATCGAAGTATGATTTAAACCTTATAAAAAATATACATTACACAGATTGCTTAGGCTGTTTTGAAAAGAAGATGCAAATCACAGTAAAGTAGCACATATCCTTAGCTAGAAAATCACAGTAAAGTGACATATATATCCTTAGCTAGAAATCACAGTAAAGTAGCACAGTAAAGTAGCATATATCCTTAGCTAGAAATCACAGTAAAGTAGCACAGTAAAGTAGCATATATCCTTAGCTAGAAATCACAGTAAAGTAGCACAGTAAAGTAGCATATATCCTTAGCTAGAAATCACAGTAAAGTAGCACAGTAAAGTAGCATATATCCTTAGCTAGAAATCACAGTAAAGTAGCACAGTAAAGTAGCATATATCCTTAGCTAGAAATCACAGTAAAGTAGCACAGTAAAGTAGCATATATCCTTAGCTAGAAATCACAGTAAAGTAGCACAGTAAAGTAGCATATATCCTTAGCTAGAAATCACAGTAAAGTAGCACAGTAAAGTAGCATATATCCTTAGCTAGAAATCACAGTAAAGTAGCACAGTAAAGTAGCATATATCCTTAGCTAGATATCACAGTAAAGTGACATATATCCCTAGCTAGATATCACAGTAAAGTAGCATAAATCCTTAGCTAGAAAATCACAGTAAAGTAGCATACAAATGTATATCCTAAGCTAGAAAATCTCAGTAAAGTAGCATATATCCTCCTTAGCTAGAAAATCACAGTAAAGTAGCATATATCCTTAGCTAGAAATCACAGTAAAGTGACATATATCCTTAGCTAGAGAATCACAGTAAAGTAGCATATATCCTTAACTAGAAAATCCTTTTATAAAACAAACACATATCCCCCTGCTTTGATGAAAATAAAGGTCACTATTAAGTCTTACTAAAGAAATGGAGCTTAACGCAAAGTCTAACCAAAGTCAGTGAAGCAGGAAATATAGGTCATATATAGTGATCTACATTTCATATGTTCTGGTGTTTGTGGTCCTCAAGATATATCCAGACTACATATAGTTTGAAGACAATTGAACTTTAAGTCATTTGTTTATTGTAGCAACAGACATAAGATAGACGTATGATAGGCAAAATCCTGTTAATCAACTTTGAACTTACCCATCTACCTAGCACACATTTCCAGCCTATGATGCAGGACTCTATCCACGAGTGAGATTTGATTGTGGCTCCCTTTAGTATTGTACAACGTTTGACACACACACCATCTTCTATGACCACGTCCGGCCCTATTGTCACATTAGGGCCAATACGACAGTTCTTACCAATCTTCGCACTTGGATCCTGTGGTAAGAAACATCACAAGGCATGAAACAACTAAGGGACTTGTGTAAGTCTAACTCTCAATTACCCGGTATAGGTAATGAAAATAACTCAGACTCATACGATATTTTTTATTTTTATAGCTTACCTATTAATATATATCAAAAAGATATTCCTTCAACCATTTTACATTCAGAAATGATTCTATTTATTAAAGTTTTCCCACTTAAATTGGTGCCTGCAGCTGTCCTTTACCTTTGAAATCAAACTATTATTGGTAAAAAAGAATTCATTACAAAATGACTCAAATCATCTTTCTGTTTAGATGAAAGAAATGTACAGTTGATTCCTAACATTTTTTGGAACAAAACTGAAGTGGATTTAATTCACTGATTAACTCACAACTAAAACGTTTCCCACAGTGCCCTCTCCACTGTGTAATTGGTCAGGTGACTTCTGGCGCAGAGAGCCGAGGTACATACACATCCCTGTGAGGAAGTCTTTAGGCTGACCAACATCCATCCAAAATCCTGTCACCATATAGGGAGGGAAGTTATTTTTTTACAATTATACAGAAACAAGTTTGCATGATCTCAAAGACCTATAGCTACTCATTCCTACGCAGTGTCAGCTTTAACCATAAAATAACTTAAAAAGTACAATCACATGTACCAAATATTGTATTTCACATCAATTCAGTACAATATGTTCGCAATTTCATTCCTTTGAAAACAATCTATTATCTAATGTTATTTAGTATATGTAGTATATGTCCTCAAAACCACTATAATCACTCTATTTGTTTTGTAAAAATCAATATTATCAAATAAATCAGAATTACCATAGTGTTATTGAAGCACATAATTTTGTTTACTCTTCACAAATGTTTCAACAAGGAACAAGCATGTTCCAAATTGTAATTTATAAGGCATCTACATAACACTTTGTGTGGACCTCTTCTAAAAGAAAGTTCCATACCATACAGTATACATCCTTAAATTGTAGATACATTGGAGTTCTCTACCATACAGTACACATCCTTAAATTGTAGATACCATGAATTTCTCTACCATACAGTACACATCCTTAAATTGTAGATGCCTTGAAGTTCTCTACCATACAGTACACATCCTTAAATTATAGATACCATGACGTTCCATACCATTCAGTACACATCCTTAAATTATAGATACCATGAAGTTCTCTACCATACAGTACACATCCTTAAATTGTAGATGCCTTGAAGTTCTCTACCATACAGTACACATCCTTAAATTGTAGAAACCATGAAGTTCCATACAATACAGTACACATCCTTAAATTGTAGATACCATGAAGTTCTCTACCATACAGTACACATCCTTAAATTGCAGATACCTTGGAGTTCTCTACCATACAGTATACATCCTTAAATTATAGATACCATGACGTTCCATACCATACAGTACACATCCTTAAATTGTAGATACCATGACGTTCCATACCATACAGTACACATCCTTAAATTATAGATACCATGAAGTTCTCTACCATACAGTACACATCCTTAAATTGTAGATACCTTGGAGTTCCATAAAATACAGTATACATCCTTAAATTGTAGATACCATGAAGTTCTCTACCATACAGTACACATCCTTAAATTGTAGATACCTTGAAGTTCCATACAATACAGTATACATCCTTAAATTGTAGATACCTTGGAGCTCCATACCATACAGTTTATATCCTTGAATTGTAGATACCTTGAAGGTCCATACCATACAATTTACATCCTTAAATTATAGATACCATGAAGGTCCATACCATACAGTATACATTCTTAAATTGTAGATACCATGAAGTTCTCTACCATACAGTACACATGCTTAAATTGTAGATACCTTGAAGTTCCATGCAATACTGTATACATCCTTAAATTGTAGATACCATGAAGTTTCCTATCATACAGTATATATCCTTAAATTGTAGATGCCTTGGAGTTCCATACCATACAGTTTAGATCCTTGGATTGTAGATACCTTGAAGTTCCATACAATTCAGTATACATCCTTAAATTGTAGATACCTTAGAGTTCCATACCATACAGTTTATATCCTTGAATTGCAGATACCTTGAAGTTCCATACAATACAGTACACATCCTAAAATTGTAGATACCTTGAAGTTCTCTACCATACAATACAGTATACATCCTTAAATTGTAGATACCTTGAAGTTCCATGCAATACAGTATACATCCTTAAATTGTAGATACCATGAAGTTCCCTATCATACAGTATATATCCTTAAATTGTAGATGCCTTGGAGTTCCATACCATACAGTTTATATCCTTGAATTGTAGATACCTTGAAGTTCCATACAATACAGTATACATCCTTAAATTGTAGATACCTTGAAGTTCCATACAATACAGTACACATCCTAAAATTGTAGATACCTTGAAGTTCTCTACCATACAGTACACATGCTTAAATTGTAGATACCTTGAAGTTCCATACCATACAGTACACATCCTTCATTTTGTAGATACCTTGAAGTTCCATACAATTCAGTATACATTCTTAAATTGTAGATACCTTGGAGTTCCATACAATACAGTATACATCCTTAAATTGTAGATACATTGGAGTTCCATACAATACAGTATACATCCTTAAATTGTAGATACATTGGAGTTCCATACAATACAGTATACATCCTTAACACATCCTAAAATTGTAGATACCTTGAAGTTCTCTACCATACAGTTTACATCCTTAAATTGTAGATACCTTGGAGTTCCATACAATTCAGTATACATCCTTAAATTGTGGATACCTTGGAGTTCCATACAATACACAGTACACATCCTTCATTTTGTAGATACCTTGAAGTTCCATACAATTCAGTATACATTCTTAAATTGTAGATACCTTGGAGTTCCATACAATACAGTACACATCCTTAAATTGTAGATACCATTAAGTTCCATACCATACAGTATAAGATACCTTGAAGTTCCATACAATACAGTATACATCCTTAAATTGTAGATACATTGGAGTTCCATACAATACAGTATACATCCTTAACACATCCTAAAATTGTAGATACCTTGAAGTTCTCTACTATACAGTACACATGCTTAAATTGTAGATACCTTGAAGTTCCATACCATACAGTACACATCATTCATTTTGTAGATACCTTGAAGTTCCATACAATTCAGTATACATCCTTAAATTGTATATTCCATGAAGTTCCATACCATACAGTATACATCCTTAAATTGTAGATACCATGAAGTTCCCTATCATACAGTATACATCCTTAAATTGTAGATACCATGAAGTTCCATACAATTCAGTATACATCCTTAAATTGTGGATACCTTGGAGTTCCATACAATACACAGTACACATCCTTCATTTTGTAGATACCTTGAAGTTCCATACAATTCAGTATACATCCTTAAATTGTGGATACCTTGGAGTTCCATACAATACACAGTACACATCCTTCATTTTGTAGATACCTTGAAGTTCCATACAATTCAGTATACATCCTTAAATTGTAGATACCTTGGAGTTCCATACCATACCATACAGTTTATATCCTTGAATTGTAGATACCTTGAAGTTCCATACAATTCAGTATACATTCTTAAATTGTAGATACCTAGGAGTTCCATACAATACAGTACACATCCTTAAATTGTAGATACCTTGGAGTTCCATACCATACCATACAGTTTATATCCTTGAATTGTAGATACCTTGAAGTTCCATACAATTCAGTATACATTCTTAAATTGTAGATACCTTGGAGTTCCATACAATACAGTATACATCCTTAAATTGTAGATACCTTGAGTATACATCCTTAAATTGTAGATACCTTGGAGCTCCATACCATACAGTTTATATCCTTGAATTGTAGATACCTTGAAGTTCCATACAATACAGTACACATCCTAAAATTGTAGATACCTTGGAGTTCCATACAATTCAGTATACATCCTTAAATTGTGGATACCTTGGAGTTCCATACAATACAGTATACATCCTTAACACATCCTAAAATTGTAGATACCTTGAAGTTCTCTACCATACAGTTTACATCCTTAAATTGTAGATACCATGACGTTCCATACCATACAGTACACATCCTTACATTGTAGATACCTTGAAGTTCTCTACCATACAGTATACATCCTTAAATTGTAGATACCTTGGAATTCCATACCATACAGTACACATCCTTAAATTGTAGATAATACCTTGGAGTTCCATACAATACAGTATACATCCTTAACACATCCTAAAATTGTAGATACCTTGAAGTTCTCTACCATACAGTACACATGCTTAAATTGTAGATACCTTGAAGTTCCATTCCATACAGTACACATCCTTCATTTTGTAGATACCTTGAAGTTCCATACAATTCAGTATACATCCTTAAATTGTAGATACCTTGGAGGTCCATACCATACAGTACACATCCTTAAATTGTAGGTACCTTGAAGTTCTCTACCATACAGTTTACATCCTTAAATTGTAGATACCATGACGTTCCATACCATACAGTATACATCCTTAAATTGTAGATACCTTGGCGTTCCATACCATACAGTTTATATCCTTGAATTGTAGATACCTTGAAGTTCCATACAATACAGTATACATCCTTAAATTGTAGATACCTTGGAGTTCCATACCATACAGTACACATCCTTAAATTGTAGATACCTTGAAGTTCTCTACCATACAGTTTACATCCTTAAATTGTAGATACCATGACGTTCCATACCATACAGTATACATCCTTAAGTTGTAGATACCATGAAGTTCCCTATCATACAGTATACATCCTTAAATTGTAGATACCATGAAGTTCCATACCATACAGTATATATACATCCTTAAATTGTAGATACCATGAAGTTCTCTACCATACAGTACACATCCTTAAATTGTAGATACCTTGAAGTTCCATACAATTCAGTATACATCCTTAAATTGTATATACCATGAAGTTCCATACCATACAGTATACATCCTTAAATTGTAGATACCTTGGAGTTCCATACCATACAGTATGCATCTTTAAATTGTAGATAACTTGGAGTTCTCTACCATACAGTACACATCCTTAAATTGTAGATACACACATCCTTAAATTGTAGATACTTTGAAGTTCTCTACCATACAGTACACATCTTTAAATTGTCCTTAAATTGTAGATACCATGACGTTCAGTACCATACAGTTGACATCCTTAAATTGTAGATACTTTGAAGTTCTCTACCATACAGTTTACATTCTTAAATTGTAGATACCATGAAGTTCAATACCATACAGTACACATCCTTAAATGAAGTTCCATACCATACAGGATACATCCTTAAATTGTAGATTCCATGAAGGTCCATACCATACAGTATACATCTTTAAATTGTAGATACCTTGGAATTCCATACACTACAGTATACATCCTTAAATTATAGATACCTTGAAGTTCTCTACCATACAGTTTACATTCTTAAATTGTAGATACCATGACGTTCAGTACCATACAGTTTACATCCTTAAATTGTAGATACACACATCCTTAAATTGTAGATACTTTGAAGTTCTCTACCATACAGTCCACATCCTTAAATTGTAGATACCATGAATTTCCATACCATACAGTATATATTCATCCTTAAATTGTAGATACCATTAAGTGCCCTATCATACAGTATACATCCTTAAATTATAGATACCTTGAAGTTCTCTACCATACAGTACACATCCTTAAATGAAGTTCCATACCATACAGTATACATCCTTAAATTGTAGATACCTTGAAGTTCTCTACCATACAGTACACATCTTTAAATTGTAGATACCATTAAGTTCCCTATCATACAGTATACATCCTTAAATTGTAGATACCATGAAGTTCCATACCATACAGTATATATACATCCTTAAATTGTAGATACCATGAAGTTCAATACCATACAGTACACATCCTTAAATTGTAGATACCATTAAGTTCCATACCATACAGTATACATCCTTAAATTGTAGATACCATGAAGTTCCATACCATACAGTATATATACATCCTTAAATTGTAGATACCATGAAGTTCTATACCATACAGTATACATCCTTAAATTGTAGATACCATGAAGATCCCTATCATTCAGTTTATATCCTTAAATTGTAGATACCATGAAGTTCTCTACCATACAGTACACATCCTTAAATTGTAGATACCATGAAGTTCAATACCATACAGTACACATCCTTAAATTGTAGATACCATTAAGTTCCATACCATACAGTATACATCCTTAAACTGTAGATACCTTAGAGTTCCATACCATACAGTATGCATCTTTAAATTGTAGATACCTTGGAGTTCTCTACCATACAGTACACATCCTTAAATTGTAGATACCTGGGAGTTCCATAAAATTCAGTATACATCCTTAAATTGTAGATACCTTGAAGTTCCATACCATACAGTATACATCCTTAAATTGTAGATACCTTGGAGTTCCATACCATACAGTACACATCCTTAAATTATAGATACCTTGAAGTTCTCTACCATACAGTATACATTCTTAAATTGTAGATACCTTGGAGTTCCATACCATACAGTATACATCTTTAAATTGTAGATACCTTGAAGTTCTCTACCATACAGTACACATCCTTAAATTGTAGATACCATTAAGTTCCATACCATACAGTACACATCCTTAAATTATAGATAAATTGAAGTTATCTACCATACAGTATACATTCTTAAATTGTAGATACCTTGGAGTTCCATACCATACAGTACACATCCTTAAATTGTAGATACCATGAAGTTCCATGCCATACAGTATATATACATCCTTAAATTGTAGATACCATGAAGTTCCATACCATACAGTTTACATCCTTAAATTGTAGATACCATGAAGTTCCTTATCATACAGTATACATCCTTAAATTGTAGATACCATGAAGTTCCATACCATACAGTATATATACATCCTTAAATTGTAGATACCTTGGAGTTCCATAGCGTACAGCTCACTATCACTGGCCATGAAAGGAAAAACATCTTTTTCTATAGAAGTTGGCTTCAGCTGAAATCAGTTTTTCTTTGTATTGTACATAACATGGGTTCTGACCTATTTAAATCCATATCTAAGCCTGTAAAAGTAGTTGTCCAGATTATGCATAAATGACAACAAAATTAATACAGTTTTAAATGATTCACATGTGTACACATATCATTTAGATTATGATTTAGAATTATATTTACTTGGTTATGATTTGTGCACTAATTGCATTTTACCAGTAATAATCATATAAATCTTCAAAGTTGTTTTTACAGGTTTTTGTAAGTTAAAAGCATACTGTATTCCCCTTTTTTCAGCACTTATGGAAATGATATAAGCCCCCTTTCCCCAAACAGCCTCTAATCTGGCCCGGCTCTCTCCTGTTAACAAAGTATAGTACAGTGTACTATGTACACTACATATCAGACAATACAGTCGAGCAATCTCTTCTCCAGCATCTTAGAAAAAATTACAATAAGTCTGATAGATGTATTTGATTCTAGTGTGTTTGTGTCATTGTCTTATCTTGAAGTGAAAAATGAGACTGACATAGTATTAATTGTGTAACGATGAAGTACTTACAGAAATTCTGTTCAGTATCGAAGGATTAAATATGTACATCCCTGCATTGATTTTATTTGAGACATATTCTTGTGGCTTTTCAACAAATTGTTGTATCCTTCCATTTTCTGCATCGTAAATAACAACACCATATTTGGATGGCTCGTCAACTTTAGTCACCTGTAATCATTTAATTAAATTTCTCTAAATCAGACATTTTTCAAGTAAAATATTCATTGGTTCATTTGTTTGTTTGATTTTGTTTAACGTCCTATTAACAGCTAAGGTCATTTAAGGATGGGTCATTTGAAGCATTAAGATCATTTAAAAACCATCATTAATTATTATGAGGATATTCGTTAAATTTTGACACTTATATGTGACCCATTTTTGACCAGAAGGAACAAATGAACAGTGATAAAAACACACCAAAACATATGGTAACAGTAACCTCACTAAAGTTCAGCCATTAGAAAGCCAGCAGTTATACTAAAATAGTTATCTAAAACAAATGCTGTTTTTGTCATTATGCATCATTTTGGTTTGTAGGAGACGATGTGTTCATCTGACATTCAATTTATAGACCTCAATAACAATTTTGAAAGTTTCAATACATAAATCTGACAAATCAATATAACTTTTCCTCTATTCTTTTTTCAAAATGTTCATTTCTTTTGATGTCATTCACTTGTTGATGCAAATCTTTGTATGTTTATTTTTGTTTTAGCTTCAAGCTTACACTATTTCTGAGATTTCTGGTTAAATAAGGTGTATTATTTATATATAATCTGGATGGTGAATCATTCTATAAGCCCTCATTGACAAAAAATGGAATTATATCACCATATACATGTATATTGAAAACGGTAGTTCTTACCATAATTGTTCCTTCTTTGCCATGGTGTTTGTGAAACTCAACCATCTGTTTAAAGGGGAAATCACAAATGACATCACTGTTGAGAACAAAGAAGGGTTCATTGTCTTTATTAAGATGTTCCTTGGCTAAAGCTAAAGGTCCAGCTGTAGGGCAAAAAGATAACAAGGATGTACACCTGTCACATGTCATCACTGAGTAACAGTTTAATGGAGAACCAAGAAAATTAATGACAGTTAATATGGATTAAGCCAGGAAAAAAACCCCACAATCAATTGATTAAGACAAAGAAATGTATGCCATTATAAATGGATGACATTTTATAGATATATAAAATTAGATACAAAGTCACCAGTCATCAAATTAATTGCTGAATGCATTTAAGTAGCTTTCAAACACAAAGATATATTTCGAAGTTCATATCTTAATGCTTTCACTCATAATGTTAATTATTTATATCTCTCAACATTGACAATCAACCTTCATTGTTTATTATTGCAAAACATGACCAATCAGACTATATACACAGCCAACTAAATTCATATCAAAGACATCAATTATCACAATATTTACCTGTTCCTAAAGGTTCCGATTCCAAAGAAATAATTATCTTCACACCCAACTAAATGGAAAAACCAGTTGTTACATACACGTAGCTATGTTAGTCAATACACAATTTATTGTAGTAATGTACATATGTATACAAGTATAATTATGTGCAAATGTGATTTCGCTGAAAATATATAGATTTTTTTATTTAAATTCCTTACTTTATCTTAGGATCTTTGTCTGATCATTCTGCTTTCTTTTCTACTAACACACAACTGGTTATAAAATTAAATCTAAATCAATGTACCACTTAGAGGGCCATTATCAAACTCTGTATCAAGTGTGGCACAATACCCATTTCAGTATACAACAACACTCTGCCATTCCAGGAGGCACTTGCATACAAAATTGTAGGTGACAGTATATATTAGATATACCCCTGTCAAATGAAACATGGATACTGGTAGACTGACTGTAAGTGCAAACCTAAGGTCTCCCCTCAAAGTACTAATGAGAGACCAATAAGCACAGCTAAAGTCTAAAGGTAACAGAACCGTTGTAAGAACATGTTTATAAAATTTCCAGTTCTGTCTGCATATGATATATATCCTTCTATTATTAGAGTGAACAGAGGAAACATACAAGGTATCAGAATGTACAGATTTATGTTTTGTGCTCTATTCATAAGGTCATCTTAATGATGTAGGGGAGTATAATTCTACTAGCCCACTGTCTGGTACTAATAGATTTTATGTTCGGAGGTGAAAGTTAGTTTTCCTTACAATAACTTGTTGACAAATGTGGGACAAATGTGGGACATGTTCACCCAGCATTGTACAAAAAAACAACTCAATGCATATTTATGAGAAAAATATATGGGAAATTAATAATATCTCACCTTTTTTTCCACATTTTTAAGTTCTTGCTCCATCTGGTCAGCACGGTAGCTCACAGCTAGCACAATGTGTGTGACTCCTGCCTAACAAACAAAAACACAATTCTACAACAAGAACAAACATATAAAACTGAATTCTCCTGATATACTTATGTTCTCTTCAACAAAAATCTAAAATACTTTTTGTTTTTCTTGAGGAACTCAAGTGTTCTGAAGATTTACCCCTTTGGCCCCCCCCATTTTTTTTGTCTTTCTTATATTTACCCTGGTATATAAAAATGAATCCCTTGTGCCCAGGAATACTTGATCATAAAATTAGGAGAAATTATATTATTTCATTTAAGCTGTATATTACATTAAGACCTTTTTTCTTATTTAATTATTCAAACCAGTCAAAACACAATGTATCCTTATTTGATTTCATGATAACCAAATGGCTAAGACAAAATCAACACACAGTATGAATTCAAAATTCATTCAGGTGATTTTCGAGTACTGGGATAGTGAACTATTTACCTCGACCAGAGCTTCTAGTTGATGAAGAAGCATAGGTTTATTTCCAAATTCTACTAAGGGCTTTGCACAACTTAAGGTCAAGGGTCGTAACCTAGTTCCATAACCTCCCACTAGAATCAAAGCCTTCATCTTCTTATTTCTGTATACGTAGTGTAAAGATGGCAACCTGTAATAAACAAATCAAAATAAATTTCAAAATCCAAGTGTTTTGATAAACTGTCACATGAATATATATAGCACAAGTAAAAAGTATTACATAGATATATACATTAAGTGTAGTAATTTATCACAGTATCAAAAGATAAAAGAAGTAACTCTGAATTGCAATTATGCAAACACATTCCCCACCCCAAACACCAATTTTACCCCAACCCCTTTCTGCATTGATTGTTTATGAAGTGTCACATATCACAAATTTAGTTTACAACTAATTATAGTTATTAATTTGTAAGGCTCAAGCAGTCATCTGTGAATTGCATGTTCAATGTTTTGCTGTAACAAGTCAGACAAGAGGCCCAAGGAAACCTATAAACCTAAACCTGATTTTAACACTAAAATGGTTAAAAGTCAGTCAGCAGAGGTGTGACAGATTGAACAGCTACAGATGGGGTCACTCCAGGTGTGGATCATTCTCCTGATCCTGGAGTGGTTTGACACATATTTAATATTTGTATTGACTAAATGTTGATATATCAAACTTGTCCAAGTGCGAATGTCTTTGTATGTAACATGTGTGTCGGTCAAAAGCTCTATAGAGCTTATGTTATTTGTTTTAAAATGCCCAACGACTTTAAATAAAATGTATCTTATATATCTTATCTAAGCGATTTTGCTTTATTTTAATTAATATTAAATCTTAGAAAATAGAGCTCAATATTGATATAAATTTTAGATGAATATAGAGCTATAAACTCAATCACAGACATGTATACAGCAACTGAAAGTCTAACAAGATCAATATTAGTAACAGGTTAGTAGTTATATTAATGTATACGTGTCCCTGGGGCTCAATCGACAGAGTGTACTCCGACCACAGGGGCTCGGTTTCGGGATACTTCGGTTAGTTATAAACCTATACACACAAGTAAATAACAGCAACACTTTTTATCCGGTGTTTATACACATTCTTAAACCCAAATCGAGGGGTACCGATGTGTTTTTACTGGTGTGTTTAGGTTTATTATTACTATAAACCGAAAGTATCCCGAAACCGAGCCCCTGTGACTCTGACCTGCAATTGACTCTGATGGTTTCATTTCAGGCTTATTAATAGTTGAACAATATAATTCACAATTATTTGTAATCATGTGCATGTTTATTCCTGTCTTCTGCTTGTATTTTTACTATGCACATACTATTTCTTATGGTTCTTACGTATACATGCATACAGTTTCCACGTACTTTACCAAAGTATTATTTTAAGTAGGATACCGGTTAAAGTTTGAAACCAACACCAGATCACTTGGTTCGTCCCTATTTCACAAATAAATAAATCTTGTACGACCGGTCGAACCGTTTGGAACGCAAAACACGAAAGCGGTCCTATAGATTGATAGACTGTTGTCATTCATAAAAGAAATACAGTATCCACATCACTTGGATGATGTGTCCATAGATAAGACGTTCTGAACAATATTCATCACTTACGGCTTATCAGGTAAATGCCTCGATAAATCTGTCGTTATCTTACCTTAAATCGACACGACTAGACCTAGGACACGTAACGATGGTTTGTTGTTATTGACGGGCGATACCGGAAACACGAGTACCTTAGACGCCACGACGCTTAACTCAGATCGAGGACGACTTCCGGGGCGCGAGTAAAGCACGGAACAGAATACTGACCCGGTACGAAATAATAATTGCTCCCTGAAAAGCGGAAGTGATATCGTCCCACCAGTCAGAGCTGTAGTGTTGACAGTCCGGAATGATCTGCTGTCGAGCCCTACATGGCCCTGGACATTTGCTAGCTAGAATACACGAAGCAAAATGTAAGATTCGTTTACGCAAGATAAAAATGTACATGTTGAAACAGATGTTTCATCTGTTTTGAGAGGGGATTGAGTAATATACATGATCATCATCACCCCATCATCAGATCATAGCACATATAGACGTATCAACGTGTATATATATAGCACATGATCATGATGCTGATCACGAGACAAGAACTGTATGATTGCGTTATGATTATCATTGACATTAATACATTAAAGTTTAAATTATATCATGTTTTGAATCTAACGTGGTTTTCTTAGCTTCATGATCAGGGGTGGATCACAGGGGTTCGTTAAAAATGTCTGAAATTCACTAGCTGCGATAACTTAGCTTTCTGACGACGAGAGATTTTTTATATATTGCGTTGTCAGAGCTACGAAGCGGTCCTATGCCAACTAATGGAGCAAAATCAAAAATGCTAATGTAGGTAAAACTATATATAATTCACGGCTCATATGAGTATAATGCTATCAAAGTATTGCATAATTGTTGAAAAAACAAATCCTTTCCAATGAAAAAAACTCTTTCACGAAATTAAATAAGTCTGTCTTGGGGGAAAAAATAGAAACGACCGTCATGACAGATCACGCATGATGTTATCTCAATTCAACCCTATTTATGGATGTGGACCAATGTGCTGTCAATTAATTAATCGCCCCGGTGTGATTCACACCGGGCTTGCTCCATTACAAGGCATGGGATCAATTTAATACCCGGCCGGGGCAGAGGAGGCCGGGTATTAATATTAGTACTAGAAATACACATACACCGTATCATAAGGTGTATGTGTATTTCTAGTACTAATATAATATGCGGTATGAGCTACTGATAGGCAGATTGTTTCGCCCGAAATCCCGTTCGCGCTAAGGGTTGTTTCACCTTAATTCTGCCCTAGGTTTAAAACGCCCTAGTTATTTTGGTTTAATTTATAAGCTAATATAATAATTAATGTTTAAAAATATCAACTAAACTTATTGATAACTTTCTATATTGGGGTTAGGTATATTTCATGTGGAAAATTAATAAAATACGCAGCTGTGTGAATTCGGGCCGTTTGTCACACTCATTTTTTTTGTATAAAATTGATTTTAATGATATTGAAGACTTAGAAGACTTAATTTGTGACTTAAAACTACTAACCTAGGGTGAACGAAATTCGGGTGAAACAACTCGGAACCCACTGATATGGGTCACTGAGCACACATAAACATACACACTTGGAAGAAGCGATATGTCAGAGCACTACTAGTACCACCAAATTTCAAATGAAGATTTACAACACTTGCTTTTGTTATCTTTTCCAGGGAACGGAATTTGAATTATAATTTAGGAATTCATAATGAAATGTGTAGGCAGTCGTCTAATACACACACTAAAGCACTTTTGCAAGTATTTCAAATTACAATAACAACACATTACTATAAAAAAAGATGGACATACATTGTATATAAATATATCCAGACTTAAGACACAAAATATGTGCATTGTGCAAATAATTTAAATAAACAATTAAGCTTAGATGCAGAGTTGTAAATATTAAGTATGAGCCAATTTCAAACAAATCTTGCACCACATATCTTAATCTTACATGTACATGACCAAACTAAACCAAGAGAAAAACTTGAAAGAAGGGTTGATCACAGGCACCAAACGAAGTTAGAGCGACCCAGTCCAGTGGTACAGTACTTAGTGATTCTCTTGATTTAGTGTCTACTGCTTCCTGTGAGGAGGAATCATTACTAAGCAAAAAGATAATTTGCCGAGACAATTATTTCTGCGTGTAGGTATTTATATTATACCGGTAAATACTTTTAAATAAAAAACAAACAATTGTAGCTTACCCTGCATATGGTGCTGAGAATTTAAACTTCAAATCAGTAACTGAAGGTTAGATGTTGACATATTTTGATATTATACTGAATCAGTAATATTGTCGTCAATATGTGGTGTTAAAAGAGCCCCAGCAAAAGTGAGAGACAGAAAGAAAGCGATAAATGTGCACGAGAAAAGTGAGGTTTTTTTTTGTATGGATCAATACAAAACTGTTTAGTATTGAGGCCTAGTACAATGGCACCAGGGCACTTCAATGTACATGGCAGGGGCCATAATGAAAGTAGACACAGGTACAATACAAAGTTATAAAATTTGTAGCTGAAGTACAAATGTAATAAAAACAAAGTAGTAATGAACAATTGATTAATCCATACAACATTATTTACAACCTATTTATACTTGGTGCCACATTTATAACTTCACTTCTAGATCTATATAATTACTTTGATTAACAAATGTTTCTCTATGCACGACATTATCAGAGTTATACCATTCAGACAATAATGAAATGATAATTGATCTAGGTAAGGACAACATGTTTTGTTTTTAGCTCACCCCTGGTCCGAAGGACCATGGTTAGCTTATGCCATACTGCATGCAGCGTCCGTCGTCTGTCCGTCAAATTTTCCTTTAAAATGCTACTAGTCCTGAACGACCTAGTAGATTTTGATTAAATTTGGTCTGTAGCATCCTTAGGCTAATTAGGGGACTCAATTTTGTATAAATGGTGGGTGTGGTCCTCCTGGGGGGCGGAGAAGCAGGGCCCAATAGGGAAATTTGAAGTAAAACCTTTAAAATCCTTCTTCTACGACAGGGATTAAAGGATTTCAACCCAATTTGGTCTGGAGCATCTTTGGGCCAATGGGACTCAATTTTTATATAAACAATGAATTTGGACACCTAGCTGGGACAGAGGGGCGGGGCCCAATAAGGGTAAAAACCTTTGAAATCCTTCTTCTACCATAGGGATTAAGGGATTTTATCCCGATTTGGTCTGGAGCATCATTGGGCAAAGAGGACTTAATTTTGCTTTTCAGAAATGCATCATTCTGTTAAATAAAACATGCTATCTGTTGTTAATTATTCAGAGGCCCGGCCTCCATAATGTAGTTTTCAATTAATTCCTACCTTTCTGTTTGTAGTTAAGCCATACCAGGTGTGACCTAAGGAAACTCAATGCCAGGAGTCATGTCGTTACAGTCCTGCAATGTCCCGGGAATCCCCCCAGATTTACGCCGTGACGAAACCGTGCACCAAATAGCAGACTCCTTAGACTATCTCGATAAGGTTGCCAATGAAATTTTTCAAAGAATCAATACAAGAGTGAATGATCACCGCACAAGATTACAAAAAATAAATGATAGACTTAGTCTGGCTCAGGCCAAAGTGGATAAAATCAAGGGAAGTAACAAAGCTACTAAAGTGTTCGCTCCGTCGAAGTATCCAGCTGCTGCCCATACAGAGGAACATCAGATGCTATTTCCATCTAGCTCAACTAATGGCCTATCTCAAGTTAAACGGCCACACTACCATGTTCAGCAGAAACACAAGACTCTTGATGACAAGGCCCTCAAAGACAAGCTGCAATTCTACATGGTCCACCTCAACATTAAGAAGAAGGAGGGGGAGAAACAACAGGAGGGGCTTGGAGGGCTTCCAAAGTCTGTGGAGTCAGTCAGCTCACTGCTGCTCTTCAACACCTCAGAGAATTTGTATGTTATATTTTTAACAATGATTTGCTCTCTATGTCTGATTAATTCAGATTCAGTGTCATCATGGTGAGAACTTATTATCTAAACAGATGTGTACCAAACAAAGGTCATGAATGAGAATACTTCAAATGTGTTCATATTTCAGGGTTTTACGTTAAAGGCTAAGGTCACTGGTTATTACATGTACACTGTATTTACAGAAATTTGTCAAACAAGGACACTGCTTTGCATTGGAGTGGGGCAATCGTATTTTACAGAACTTGTCTGATTTATCTACACAACATCATAATACTTTTGTAGGTACTAGAACTTAAAGCAAAATCTAGAACATAAACGTTGTATGTTTAGGTATAAGAAATATGTGATGCTGGATCCTCTGGGAGTGGTGACCAAAACGCGAACTGCCATTGAGGAGGAAGAGGAGTTAGCTGAAGCACCCCTCACAATCGCCCAGCGAGAGGAGCTGCAGCGACAACAGGCTGATAGCTACTTTTACATCCCCCACCTGGGGGACGTACCTGAAATCGCTGTCCCCTCGTCCTTACCTGACCTTCCCGGTAAGTTGTGTCTCCTGGTCTTCAAAAGATCTGTGATTGGCAGAAACATAATATACTTTTCTTATTTTGGAGGATGGAATTCAATGTGCATGATATTATATACACAAAAAAATCAAGTTCATCCCCTTGTCGTTGAAAACTGCCCTTTTTGGATAGATTCAAAATCAAATATACATGGTGTGGAAAAAGTAGTGTTTTTATTTTTTCATTGATTTAAAATTTGATATGGTAAGCCTCTGATTTGGTGAGATATTATTTACCTCTCATCATGCCTAGTCTGCCAGAATTGTGGTCAATGGCCTATTATTTGTTTAGATACTTTTGAGTCTCCCCAGGAATGACGTTTCAAATTATTAACTTATTTCGTCAATTTTTTCTTTTAGTTCTAAATTGATTGATTTTTAGCTCACCTGGCCCGAAGGGCCAAGTGAGCTTATGGCATGGTGCGACGTCCGTCCGTCGTCTGTCGTCCCGCGTCCGTCCGGCATCAACTTTTTACTTTAAACAACTTCTTCTCAGTAACCAAAAGGGCTAGGGTGATGATATTTGGCCAGAAGAATGCTGGGATAAAGGGCTACCAAGTTTGTTCAAATAAATGACCTTCAACCATTTTCAAGGTCACAGGGGTCAAATATGTTAAAATCTTTAAACAACTTCTTCTGAATAACCAAGAGGCCTAGGATGATGATATTTGGCCAGTAACATGCTGGGATGAAGGACTACCAAGTTTGTTCAAATAAATGACCTTGACCTATATCCAAGGTCACGGGGGTCAAATATGTTAAAAACATTTAAACAACTTCTTCTGAAAAACCAAGAGGCCTAGGGTGATGATATTTGGGCAGTAATATGCTGGGATGAAGGGCTACCAATTTTGTTCAAATAAATGACCTTGACTTATACTCAAGGTCACAGAGGGCATATATGTTTTAAACATTTAAACAACTTCTTCTGAATAACCGATAGGCCTAGGGTGATGATATTTGGCTAGTAGCATGCTAGGATGAAGGGCTATAAAGTTTGTTCAAATGAATGACCTTCATCTTTTTTCAAGGTCACAGGGTCAAATATATTCTTAACCTTTAAACAACTTCTTCTGAATAACCAAGAGGCCTAGGATAATGCCAGTAACATGCTGAGATGAAGGACTACCAAGTTCAAATGAATGACCTTGACATATATATTTTAAGGTCACAGGGGTCAAATATGTTTAAAACCATTGAATGACTTCTTCTTAATAAGCAAAAGGCCAAGGGTGATGATATTTGGCCATTAACATGCTGGGATGAAGGACTACCAAGTGAATGACCTTCGCCCATATTCAAGGTCACAGTGGTCAATATATGTTTAAATCTTAAAACGATTTGTTCTGTATAACCAAAAGGTCCAGGGTAATGATATTTTTCCAGAAGCATGCTGGGTTGGAAGACTATAAACTCTGTTCAACCTAATATTATAATGTCCTTGTTCGACATTCAAGGTCACAGGTGTCATATGTTTAAATCTTTTAATAGGTTCTTATGAATGAAACACTGATATTTTGCCTGTAACTGTATTTTAGTCCACTTTTAAGATTACAAGTGTGAAATTAATACCAGGTGAGCGATGCAGGCCCATTGTGCCTCTTGTATTTAAGGTCACTGGGGTCAAATATGTTTAAAACCTTTAAACGACTTCTTCTGAAGAACCGAGAGGCCTAGGGTGATGATATTTGGCCAGTAACATGCTGGGATGAAGGGCTACCAAGTTTGTTCAAATAAATGACCTTGATTTATATTCAAGGTCACTGG